TCAGGGATTCCTACTTCCTTTACTTGCAGGTTACAAATTCTAACCTGCTAAATGAATTTGTGGACCAAATTTTCAAGGAACTTTTTGTGTAGTCAGTTCTTACATACGGTGTTTGGTAAACACTGAAAATAGATTACTAGTGACATTTTAATATCTATCAAACAACTGAGCATTTCCTATAGAAAGATAAAGCTTAGGTTACTGCAGCTTTTGCACAGTTGTATGAGAGGCCATAGTCTTTGCTTCCAAGGTTTGGGATGGGCTCACAAGGGATTCAGCGCCTGACAGAATGGTCACTTTATTAGGATGTAATCGGAGGGCGCAGGGCAAGGATCACGTGATGACTGTGTTCTGTTACATGGTGGTGTTTATGATCAAACTGATCAACACAATTGGTAGAAGTGGACCCTTGAAAGGCATGTGCTGGGCTTATGCCGAAATGATTCAGTTCTTACATTAATAGCAATTCAGGTGTTTTGTTTGTTTCTAGCCTAAATGTAGGGTTAGAGTAAAATTATAGAAAGCAATCTAGTGGTTAGATTTCCCATTTGTATTTTATTTTCTGGAATTTTTTTCATAGTTACTTGTTTAAGAAGATTTAAAAATCATTGCACTTTGGTCAGAAAAATAATAAATATATCTTATAATGTTCAAAAAATAAAATAAAACTATTTTTATTGCTTTAAAAATAAAAAGTATTTTAAAAAGAATGAAAGACGAGAACAGTGGGGGAATTGTCTCACCATGCATGTAAAGGGGCAGATTTTTTTTTTTTCAGAACCGGGTATTGAACTCAGGCCCTTGCGCTTGCCAGGTAAGCACTTATTCTACTGAGCCATCTCCCTGGCCCCTAAGGGGCAGATTTTAAGTCAAATTCTACAAAGCAAATACTATGTCAGCCACTAAATAATGGAAAGACGGAGAGACAACATGCCAATAACAGATATAAAAGTCATAAAAGACACTGGCTTAATATAAAAGAATGTAGAAAAAGATGGCAACGGGGACAAACAACAGGATATAAGAACAGAAAGCTAGCAGTACGGTGGCTTGAAGCAGTGACCTGTCCATAAACACATTATATACAACAGCCTAAACATGCCCAGTTCTTCTCACCTCACACCTTAGGAAACTAAGGTCCAGTAAGTTTCATGTCTTGCGGCTGAGAAAGGACCCCCCCCCCAGCACATGGCTGTCCCCATGAAGACTAGGTGGGAAGCTGGGGAGGAGCAGAAAAGGAGGGGAGGAGGAGGAGGAGGAGGGGAAGGGGGAGGAGGAGGAGGAGGAGGAAGAGGACACGGTGCTGGGGGAGAAGCAGTGACGGCCAGCCACATGCATGTGGTAATGGCTGAGCTATTTCATAGCCTGTCCCTTGTCACATAGGTAACATCTTCCTGCCCAGGCTCTTCGAGAATCACAAAAATTTAGGATGAAGCACCAAGAGCCAGCACCTGCCACAGATCAGGCAAACTCCGTAGCGCCGGCTCTGTAGTGTTCTGGCTGTCACGCCGTTGCCGTTGGCGCTGGCAAACTCGAGACCAGGGCGGCACTGGCTCCCATCGGACAGCAGCAGAGCTGATCGCCTCGCTCTCTTCCCTGCAGCTGCCACTGGAGCTGGAAACCAGTGAACAGCTTGGGTGACAGCTTCTGCTTCGTGTTCATCTACTTCCTGTTCATCTCTGGGAGTCTTCAGCACTGTGTTCCTAAAGTACAAATCGGATCATGGCCCTCCTGTTTAAAGTCTCTAAGACAATAGTAAGGCTAGCTGACACGGATGCGTGCTCCTGGTTCCAGGCACAGTGCAGGGTTTCATGTTACGCTCTGCAGAGCAGCTGAGGAACCAGGAATCATGCAGGTTGCCCAAGGGCCACACAGCCACACAAAGGAAGATCCATGGGTGAACCAAGCTGCCCTTCCCTGTTTAGCAGCTCCTGGACAAGGTGCTGCCTACCACAGACACAGCCACCAAGAGGCCCTTGGGACTGCTGGCTGAGGTCTGATAGCAGTCAGGAGCCTAGTGGGGTCTTTTATGGGGGAGTGACTGAGACAAAGGAGGCTGCTGCATGTACAGATCAGGCCGGCCAGCCTGGGGAGCAGGCAGCTGGCAGTGCCTTCAAGGGGAGAGGTGGCGATGCCCTGGTCCTGGGAGGGGGACGGGAAGCGCAGCAGGCAGGCTCCTGTGTGCAGGCTGATGCTGCCATGTGGTCAGCAAGGGGTGGACATCAGACGGGGGCTGAGAGCCAGAGGGACACCTTGGAGGTGCCTGGCTTGGTGCCATTCGCTTGGAGAGGGGACATCCATAGTGAAATGGCTCATAGGAGAATCTGCTAGGTTCATGGACAGACAATCAGAGGCTGAGATACCTGCATGGTGCCCAGGAGCAGGTGTCCAGTGAGCCACAGACGTACGCATCTACAGCCCCAGAAGTGCAGTCTGTGGGAAAAGACCTGGGGGTCACAGCATTAAGCTGTCCCCAAATACCCTCTGCCAAGTTGATCTCACTCTCAAATTCCCACAAGAGAATTGTCATTGGTCTGCTTTATCTCTGGCATGGAACAGTTACTCATATTTTTGTCTGCCAAGGTAGCTAGACGGAACTCTCGGAAGGTAGAGTGATCTAAAAGACAAACCTCAGAGAAGCTTAACAATTTTCTGTCACCCAGCTTGTGAGTAATAAGCTCAAACTTGAGACCATGTCCTCTCAGCCCAAGCTCCCCGGAGCTTCCCTCCCATAAAAGGCTTCCATGTATACTAATGTGCTTTCCATTGCTATAAGGAAATACCTGAGGCAGCCTCATTTATAAAGAGAAGAGGATGATTTGGTTCACAGTTCTGAAGTTCAAGGCTTCCTGAGTCCCAGGACAACACACAGCATCACATGGCAGGAGACAGGGAGGGCATCTCTGTGCACTTCGTCTTTCTTTCTCTTCTAAAAAACCCACCAGGACTGAATCATGGGACTCTACCCAAGGACCTTACCTAATCCTAATCACCTCCAAAAAACCCTCATCTCTAAACATCATGGGTAGGTGAAGCTTCCGTCCTCTTAATACTATTACGTGTGGTTTGGGGATTAGACCTCAGAGTGCATATGGGGGAGACAAGCTTTCTGTATGGTGCCAGGTGCTGCCGTGGAGAAAACCACCTTCATGCAGAGCAGAAGGAGGAGTCAAAGCGCCGGCCACACCCAGTTTTGTGCGCACTAAAAATTCAATGCAAGAACCAAGCTCCCTTTCCTGAGCACCAACATTTGGCTGAACAGACAACGCCCAGAACCTCCGCTCTAACGTGGGTATGGAGACCCATGTCTGACAGATGAGGGGGTGAAATGTCCTGCTCTGAAGTGGTAGGGCTGGACCTGAGCTTGATCCCGCCCGCAGAAGCGCAAGCTCTCCTGCACAACCCGACGGCCTCCTCGGGAGCTCGCCCCAGGTCTCAGGCCTGGGTTCTGCCAGCCTGGCACCTCCTGCTGCTGCTGAGAGCCCTTCAATCAGCCTTCGGCAGAGAATTCTGTGCTGATTTCTGAATCCTTGGGTACAATCTATTTTCAACCACGTATGATTGTAGCAGAGTCCTGGACAAAGCAGAAAATGATCAGAAAAGCAGACAGTCACCTTCACAGGACAGAGGAGGACATGTAACTCAGCGGGCCCACACCACCAGAGCTTCATGGCCCTGATGCACTTAATCCTTGCAAGGGCTTCTTAGCCTCATTTTGTTAATGAAGAAAATGAAGCTCAGAAAGGTCGGGCAACTTCTCTGAGAACACCCAGCCCCCAGGCTAGTTTCACTCCACCAGCTTCTGTGTTCTTCCCCTGTCCTCGCTGTGCTGTTGGGAAGACTGGCCCTACCACATCCTGTCCTGAATGCAAACCGGTCACTCAGACATGCACACCTGCTCTGTCCCAGTGCGGTCACCTGGCAGCTCATAATCACAGTACCCAGAGGAAGCACACCCCTCACCCCACACCCTGCCCACCATGCCGCACCTACACTAAGGCTGCCGGTCACCAGGGATTTGAAGGAGAGGTCCCAGGTTAGACAAAGGTTTTGAAGGGAGGACACCCCAGGTCAGACCCAGGATTCCTTCCTTGTGGGTGGCAAGACTACAGGCAAGCCTCTGCTCATACCTCAGCTCCTAGGCTGTAAGACAGGAATGGGGACGCCTGCCTGCTGGGTTGTCAGTGACGATTAGGAGCGCAAAAAGGCAGCTGGCAGGGCCTGGCAGCAACTCTCCCACACCAGAGGATTCGCCAGAGGCCGCGTTTCCTCCTAATCATTCCTTGTCCTTGGGAAAAGTCCACCTCAGGTGTGTCCTCAGGCTGTCAGAGAACTCCTGCGGGAGCGATGTGGCCCAGCCCCCGGCTGACATCACGGCCTCCACCTCGCTGTGACGGCAGCAGGGCCAGGCCATGCAGCAGGCGGGAACAGGGACTTGGTGCAATTACTTGTTGGACACTGAGTAGGCCCAGCCCATGCTCTAGGACCAGAAAAGGACAAAGACCTGGGCTGTAAAGCAGGAGTCTTGGTTTTGCTCCTTAGAGGCTTTACGATCCTATAAAAAATAATTCTTTTTTTCTAATTTTAAATTTTTTAATATGTAATAAATGTTTAGAATAAGTACCAACATTTTCAACATCAACTATTCATGTATTTAGAAGATCTAAAAAATAACAGCAGAAATAAATTCCTCTGTGAGCTACAATGAAAATACAAATAAAACTCTCCCACAAAAATAATCTTCACCTCAGCAATCACACCTCAGGCAGCTGTCACTCGAGAACAGCGAGCTCCCCCCACACACACGCTGCTTACGCTGACGGCGTGCGTGCTCCATTCTCCTGGCTTTGGTAGGGTGCACCTGATGTCTTGCTGATCTGCCTGCTTTCTCAGGAGGCTCTTGTGACGTTTCACCAGGCTGATTGTCACCAGTCTGCTCCAGAACTCCTTTGGGTTCTTCAGGTAGGTACATCCAGTTCTTCCTCTACTGTATCTGATCATTTATCAAGTCCAGTCCCAGTCCTCTAAGAAAATTTCTCCATGATATTTTGTGTTCGCTGTTTTCTTTGTAAAGTACGTATGATTTATGCCTGATACGTTTAGGACCAAGGAAGACAACTGCTGGCCAACAGGTTGCGTTTCAAGTGACATCACAGTTGCTGCATAACTTAAGACCACTTCTTCGTAAGCTCCTGACGCTCATTTATCAGCTGGGTTTGGCAACTTGGGTCTGAACTGGTCACACTGTGCCCTGGGGATGAACATTTTCTGGCAACTCTGAATCTCTGCTGGACACCACAGCAGGAAGCCACAGTATGGAAATAATTTAAAATAAAGCAGTTCCCACAGAAAGCAAAAACGAGTTCAATTACAAAGAGTTATGTGCGAAACACATTTATTTCCAAAGGTTTCTTATATAAAAAGCATAGTGTGTAATGACTGTTGTACAAATAGTCTTGCCTTGTTCACAGACTGCTTGTCACACAGCATGGCACTGGGACATGACAGGGCAGGCGTCTCCTCCAGAGCTTGGGTGGCCTGGGACTAGAGGAGGAGTGCTCAGGTCCTTGGGAAGCAGCGTGGCCAAACGGTAGTTAACAAGACCAAGCAACACTGAGTCCTCAATGGCAGGGGGGCGAGGGTACCGGCTACACGAGGAAGCGTAACCCCGCCCACGGCCCCGCCCACCCGGGCTGTCCCAGTCTACTTCAAGTTGTGTTATGAACAAACAAAACACAGGTGCACAGGAGAGAGTAAGTCTTCCCACCTGCAGGTGCTCCCAGGGCCCTGTCTCTTGGGCTAGTCCAACCCCAGGGCCCTGCTGGCCTTCCTGGCATTCAGGAAATTCTTCTTCTTCCTGGGAGGAACATGCAGTGAGATCTCTGGTTCCTTTGGGTTTCTGAATATAAACAGCCTTTCCCCTGTGCCTAACACATCAATGGTCTCAGTCCCTGCAATGGGGACAGGGGCCGGTTCGCCAATGGGCTCCAGGGGCAGGTGGGGCCAACTTCCTTTTCCAGAGAACACCAGCCTGTCTCTGATGGGGAGATGTGTCTTCTTCAAAATGCTATGGAGAGAACGGAAGAGCAAACTCAGTGCTGGGGACCATTTGGACCCTCCTTGTGTCTGACAGGGCCCTCCAGGGGATCCCCTTTAGGTCCTAGCCTCCCCAGCTGAGTGTCACTTTAAAGACTGGCTCTCCCTTGGGTCAGCAGTGTAGCCCTGACACGAGCCGAAGCCTGTAACAGCGGTATGCTGAGTCAACCCAAGGCCATGGTTGTTAGATGTTCAGGACCTCGGGGGTCACTGTCATCTTCTGGTTAGCCTGAGGTCAGCCATGGTGGGAGGACGCACCAGTGGTCAAACCATCATCAATATACTCTTTGGGTCCCAACCCAAAAGTAGGCGGATGGAGCTGGGTTACAAAGCAATGGTTGGGAATTAGGCTAAGTGTGTTTGCCACAGTACTTCTGGGCTTCTGTCTCCAAGCTGTTCTCTGTCCCTGGCTGCTCTTGAAAATGCCATGACTGCCCCTCAGGGCCACAGGACACTTGTAAGCCGCAGGGCACTTTGCCCAAGTGATGCAGGCAAGGCCCTATCACCATAGGGTCCACCTGGTGGACACTCTTGGCAAATGTGCTGGTCCTTCTTGAAGAGACATGGCAGATTCAGCCACAGGCCGCCACCACCACGTCCTACCCTCGAGCCTGCACAGTGCTAACCTTCCACATGGTCTATGGTGCCTTGGGTGGAGGGAAGGCTGCCACACTGTTCTCTCGGTGGGCAAACACCCCACCTATCAGCGCCACCTGGGAATGTCTCCAGTAGAACACTTTACAGTTCCAGGAGTAGACATTTAATTTCTTGATCTGGGCTTGAATTTGTTTCTCTTGACCACACGTGCTGATCTAATTTCTTGGGAACCACTGCTGATGGCTTCAAGCTTATCACAGATGATCCATGGTGCAAGGTCAACACCTTCCCCTGGGCTTTGAGAAATTACAGGAGGGCCAGAGCATGGGCAGACACTTCCCTCGGACAGTCACTGATCCCTGAGCACAGGGTGGGTGCTGCTTTTTAAGCCACTGAGTCTACCTGACGTTGCATTTTTTTTCTAAACCTTCTCTAATTAGAACCACCAGAGACACTTGGTGAACGGTCTGAAGCAATCTAAAGCCTCTCTGCCCCCTCATGCCCCCGATCTCCAGGCCTGCAAAAGTCACAGTAAGAAGGGTACGAGCCTGGAAGTTTCAGGGAACAAACGGGACAGTCAGAGGGTCCCAAGTGCCATGGCCACCACCTACCAGCCACTGTCCTGGGCTGCTCCATGGGACTCCCCTGAGCTGCAGTTTTACTATCCCACTTTCTAGAAGCTTCAGTGCAACAGGACATGGAAGGGCTTGGTAGTAACCAAATTGGAACAGCTCTACAGAGTTACTTTCCTTTCTAATTATAACTCATTAAAAATAGCTGTTAGTTAAAATAAATACATAAATCAAAATGCTAATAAATGTTAGCAGAACCTTCGCCACTGATAGCTATGGGCTTATCTTCACCTTGTAAGAAAGACTCATGGGATTAAGATTTGTGGTCTTCAGGGAAGGAGCCCCCTCCCCATTGCCCCTGGGGTTGGGTCCAAGCTCCCAGCAGCAGCGACAGGGCTCCTTACCTCTCCTTCCTCTGCCGCGCCCAGAGCACCTTCTCCAGCCCTCTTCCCCTCAGATCTGCCCGCAGTTTGCTCTCCAAGGTCTGCCACCAGCTCTGGTGTTTCCTGCCAGCAAGAAAGGAAAGGATCGTTGTCGAGAGAAAGGCCCAGTGTCTGAGTGACCAGTAATTCTAACAGACCCCACGGGGCTCCATCGTCTGATCAAGCACCTTCTGGGGCCTTGTGAAGGTTTATGTGGATAATCCACCCTGAGCCTCAGCACTCAGAGGCAGGGCTTCGGGAAGAGGATGGGCCACAGGGGTGACGAGGGTGGGGAGGTGGGAGGTGAGCTCACAGCTGGCTTGCTGATGGGGTCAGGGCTGGTTAGAGACAAGGTGCCTCTCCCTCTCCTCTCTGGTCCTCCCCCATCTCCACTTCCTGGCTCCATGCTGTGCACAGCTCCCCCTTCTAGGCCGTCTCTCCCTCACAACCAGCTGATCATGGTCTGAAAACCATGAACCCACATCAAGCTCTGCTTTGAAGGGCGGGAATCGGCATTTCGTTCCACTGATGTGGAAAGTGGCTACAACACGCCCAGGCAAGGTGAGACTCCTGTGCTCCCCAAACACCCAGGTCAGGGCACTCAGAGACGGACAGCTGACGCCAGTCAGACAGAGGGGAGTGGGAGCAGTGCAGAGGCAGAGACGCTGAAGGAAGGGATCTGGGGAGCCCCAGAGACCAGCACACAGGCTGTGCGAGCCGGCTTTGCCCTTTGTCCCAATGCATGGTGCTGCATGCCTGCAATTCCTGCACTCCAGGAAGCTAAGGCAGGAGGGTAAGAAGTCCAAGGCCAGTGAGGGACAGCCCTGTCTCAGAATGAAAATATAAAAGCCCATGAACCTCGCTCAGTGCAACAGCCCTGGGTTTGATCCCCAGTACTGAAAAAACAAAACTACACACACCAGCAGGCACACTGGGCTCAGGAGCAGCGCTAGGAGTGTGTGGCTGGAGGAGGTGAGGCCAGAGCCTGAAGGCCTGGGGCAGGTGTGGGACTCTGGCCTGAGAGCGGGGACGCAGCGGGTGCAGGAGACTGGGAGGATGGCTCTCTAGGGCCTCGGATTCGATCTCAGTCCATAAAGAACAGAGAAGCTGAGAGTCCTGCTGGGCCCTGCACACCCCTCTGTTGCAGTGCTCCTGCTGATGGCAAAGGGGACAGCCCTGTCCTGCAGGCCCAGCCAGGCACTCCCGCCTCGGCACGGAAAGGACGCTCTTCCGCCAGTAGTACCCACGGAGCTGCCCAGGCTGCCCTTCTCGGCCAGGACAGCGGCTCTTCCTGGATACCGTACAGTCCTCAGGATACACACAAGTGCTCAGCCAGCTCCTGTGGCTGGAGAACCAAGGCCCTGAACAGGTGTGAGACTAGGCACTGGATGGCGGCCCCAAGAACAGTGACTGCCCTGTCCAAGTCCTCAGGGACCAGGATGGGTGCCGAGGCCTGAAGAATCACTGTATGTGCTTGGCCAGGAGGCTGGACAAAGAGGTTGCGCACAAGTACCACTCGTGTGACAGCGCTCTGCATCTCCCCGCCCATCTCCCTCACCAGCTCTGCAAACTAAGGTGGACGAAGGGGCAGCCCCCAAGCCAGGCCCTCCGGCCACAGCCTGCCTCTCCCCACCCCACCCCTGGCCCCTGGGCCCTGGGCACAGGCACACCAGCCCTGGACCACACCATGTCCAACCTCTGAGGTTCTTCCATGGACTGACCACCACCATGGACCCTGACTCCCACCACTGTCTTCTCCCCACTGCCCTCCGCTCCAAGCCCCATTCCATCAGTACCTCTTAATTGTCAGAGGCCCCTCAGGACTCTGCCCATCAGACACCATCCTTCTAACAGGAAGAGCATGGTCCACACACCTCTGTCCACACCCAGCCACCACAGCAGCATCCCAGGCATCGTCCCAGCCTCCCGTGGTCCTGGCTGAAGCCTGGGCTCACAGCTGGCTTCCAGCCTGACTCTCGGTGCCTTCTCCTCCTGCAGGATCCCTCCTCTCAGGACATGCTCACTGCTCCAGCGCCCGCCTCACTCTGCCCCCAGCCTCCAGCCTTTCCTCCAGCGGGCACTTCAGGTCAAAGTCACACCTAGACCCCAGTCCTGAAGGCAAGCATCTGTGGTGGAATCCATGGCTGAGGAACGATGAGCCCAGCTGAGTGCCCAGCGATAGACAGCAGCAGCCCCGTGCCTCTACCGAAGCCGTCTGCACAGCAGTAGGCAGTCATGAAAAGCAGCATCTACCCCAGTGACAAGTGGGACTTTACACTCACAAAAAGAGCAGAAGCACTGTCTTAACTGTGGAGCATGGATCAGGTGGGCACGCAGGACACAGGAAGGGTCTGAAGAGCAGAAAGCACCGCTGGACACACTGCATGCTCGCCACATGTGCACACATACACGCGCACACATGCACACACATGTGCACATACACACATGCATGCGTGTGCACACACACAGGTCACATTTACAACGCTGCTGCTTACAGGTGTTCAGCTGCGCAATACCGGGAAAGCAATCGGCACTCAGTGGAAACTACTCTGAATACTGGTCCCACCCCAGGCTGCCAGGAGGTGGTCCAGACTCCTGGATGCTGGCAGCAGCAGGGAGCCCCAGGCCCAGCCAGCCCAGCTGTCAGGACACAAGGCTGCTCCATAGCACGCTGCTCAGAGAGGATGCTCGAGAGATTACATGTGTCACCTGCAAGCTCTGAGTGAGGGACTTAAGTTAGGGCAGGTTTATTAGGACAGAGCCCATCGTAAACCAAGGAGCACCGGTACACACACTCATGCAAGGAGCACGCAGCCATGCAAGCACGCTGCCATGCTTTCATACACAGTAACACACACACACGTACGTGCACGCTTGTGTGCACACACACACATATGCATGCGCGTGCACAAACACACACATGATGCAGCTGAGGAATTAAATACCAAGTTTGGGGTCAGGGAGATAGCTCAGTGGCTTAAGTGCCTGCCAGGCAAGCACAAGGTCCTGAGTTTGATCTCTGTTATCAAAGAAAAAGAAAAGAAAGACAAAAAGGTCTAGCTTTCCCCTAGGCAGTATTCGCTGGGCAAACAGGAAGTGGGCTAATGGGTATGTGTGACACATTTACAGCTCTGGGTACATTCTTTCTTTAAATGCTACTTGAAGAATAGACTGGTGGCAGCCTTAGCAAACACCAGGGCCTGCCATCGCCTGGACACGTAAAGATGCTGTGAATTCAAGAAGCTAGCCAGAGAGGAACGTGGCTCTGGCCTTCCCTCTGTGGGTGCCTGGCCGCATCCCATGCCAGATTCTGTGGCCACGCAGGGCACTCACCTCCTCCTGCCCAGGTCAGGCTGCTCCCCATTGCCCGGGCTCTCCACTGTGTGCTCAGGGTGCCTCTCGCTGACTGAATCCAGCAGGGTCAGCAGCTGGGGCTGCGGGGCCGTGGGCATCACCACGCTCAGGAGGCGGCGTAGAGTGGCACTAGGCACCATGGTCATCTTCAAGAGGTAAGCTGCCAGCCTCAGCTCCTGCAGGACAAGGAGGGGGAGCTCAAACCCCAGCCACCACTAGGTGGGGTGGACAATTTTTAATTTATTATATTCTTAAGGCTTTTGCTCTCAGGGCAATAAGTATTTCAGTGGCTCAGCCTGGAAAGCACACCCCAAGGCAGAGGGCTGTCAAAAAAAATTTGGTCCTCAACTTTGGCACCACGTGACGTTTTAAAAGGTTCCATCCACTCCTCCCAACTGCTTAGCTTACATAGTAGGACCACATCTCCTCACTGCGCTCAGCTCACCAGGTAGGGACCACATGACCACAGAGAAGCCCTGGGCCAGTCAGTACCGTTCTCCTCCTCCTCCTTGGCTTAGAGGAGGCCACGTAGCCCCAGGGAACAGGGCAGAGTTTGTAGCCAAGTGGGACATCTCTAAGTCAGAGGGTGACTGGCGACACTGACCTTACTCCAGACACCACTGCTGTAAGAGAAGGGACTGGGCAGGTCTCAGGAAGACCATGAAGGGTGGACACAGCCAGCATCTGAAAGCGCTGGCTGTGAGATTCCGTGCAAAAACACTGCAGCCTAGGCACAATCACTACAAACTTGGTGATGGGAACACAGCCCGCTGTGAGGGGCTGGCAGCAGTGGGTAGGGGTGTCTACAGAGGGCCAGCTCAGGGAGGCCTTTACGGTGGCAGACAGTGAAGAATCTTTTTTCTTCTTCTTCTTTTTGTTCTCCCAGTATGAGGACTTGAACTTAAGGACTTTGCACTGAGCCACATCTCTAACCCTTCAAAATTATTTTGAGTCAGGGTCTTGGTAAATTCTACATCATCCAAGTTGGGCTTGAATTTGCCACCCTCCGTCCTCAGCCTCCCACAGTGCTCCGATTACAGGTGTGTGCCACAAGGCCCAGCCTTTTAAAAAAATACTTTGATTCCCCAGTTAGCTGAAGGTGGGGACGGAGCTGAGGACAAGAAGGGCGACTGAACCATCTGCTGCCTGTGCTCAGGGCTTCCGGTTACCCTCTCTGCAGATGGGATTGGCATTATCGCCCCACCCAACACGCAGGAGACACAGCTCTGAGGAGGGAGGTCACGGGGGCAGGAGCGAGCCCCAGAGGCGCACCTGGCTGCACAGGGCCGCGAAGGTGTCCGCCTCCAGGCTTTCCAGGACATCCTCCAGCGCCGCACTGCTCCGCTGCTCCTCTCTCAAGCTGGAGTGGAGACAAAGTCCAGGTTTGTGAGTCCAGCTATACAGACAGGGGCAGCTTGGGAAGGTCACCAAACTGCTTCAATAATGAAGAGTCACAGATCTAAGCTACACTATATAAAATATATACAAAACTCACACATCTATAAGAGGCAGGATCCACAAACATGGGAATGTTTACATTCTAAAAATTTCTTAGAGTACAAGATTCACTGCAACCTGTTTGCCTCAGCACCCTCCCCTTACTCCAAGCACACTGTCTCTGCTCTTGGTGCCTTCCAAAGCAGTCCCAGAAGGCCTGTTTCCTGAGTATCTCTCGTTGCGCTGTCACGGCTGCTTCGGTGCCCTGAATGGATCTGAAACACTTCCCTTCCATGATCATTTGGTCCTTGAAGAAGAGCCGGAAGTCATGTGATGCCAGGTCCGGTGAAGAAAGCACAAGGGTGCCATTGTTTTCACAAATCCGCTTGGGCAGCAGCACTCACTGAACTCTGCTCACATCTCATGAAGACACTCAGGAGGGAGGACTCCAGAGCCGCATCAGAAAGCAGCCAGAAGGGTGGGATGAGTGTGCTGGGGGGCTACTTTGAGGGGACCCAGGGCAACATGTCTTCCACTGTAATAACATTTTTTATTTCCACCTTCACTGTACTTTTCAATCACCTGTGCATATACAAACACACACACACACACACACACACACACAGAGTGAATGTAGAGCTTCCTCTCATCACCTGGTCTACTTCCCACATAGCGGGCCAGAGACCTCAAGAGGGAGCAGGGCTGCTCTGTGAGAAGCGCCATGGGAGCCCCAGGCTCTGAGGAGCCGTGTGACCCTGCTCTGAAAGCTCTACATCACCCTGAAGCAGACTGAAAGAGCAACCCCCTCGAGTTCTTCCCGCCTCCCTTGCAGCTACAACTTCTTGCTCTGGTGCAGATAAGATGGGCAAATATGTCCCGTAAACAGTTTTGTCACCTTGTTCTCACAGGATTTACAAGGCTCTGTCTTCTCTCAAGGATAAGTTAATTATTCTGTCTTGCTTCTGTAACCTTGCCTGTCCCACACCCCCAGTCTCTAAAGATCAAGTCCCTCAGCTAAATATAAACTAGAACCTTTCCCTTTGTTCTAATGCCCAGCACTTTGGACGTTAGTTCAGCAGGGTCAATGTTTATCTAAAATCCAGGAAATAAATCCTTTTTCCCCATTGGCCTTCTCTGATCTCTTGAATTTGCAACATTTCTGATGGCCACAAAGGGCCTTGAGGTGACAGATGTGCTGCCTCCTTTGCCTGAGGGCCCAAGAGGACCTGAGCTGAGGAAGCCCTGAGAACCCTGCCACAGGGTGAAACTTCAGCTCTGAGAAGATGTTGGTCCTTACGCAGCACGGACACTCCCTCCTGTCAGCACAAATGGAACCTGGCGGGGGGGGGGGGGGGGGGGGGATTCTGGATAACTCTTGAACAGCAGCACACTACAGGACTATAGGAAGGCTCTGTGGGCCCAAGGGGGAATACCTGTCCTTTAGGACAGAAAGCAAGCTTTACCACCTCAGAAGGAGTACCCAGTAATCTGACTCAGACCAAAAGCTGACTATACCAGCATCTCGAGCAGGGGCCACTTGCAAGAATTGGCTCCTCAGGGTGCTCGGGATGTGGGAGTGGCCTGCCACGAGAGGCTCACAGCCTCTGACCTGGACTAAGTCAGATGAAACCTACAACTCCAAGAGGACCTGTGGGAGAGGCCCACACCAAGAGCAGCCTATGTGTGACTCTCAGACAGCTGGTAGGACAGGCTCACAGTGAGAGCACCAAATGGAATACAGGAGTGGCTCAAGGTGAGAAAACGTCCCTGACAGTGAGGGGATGCAGGAGAGGACAACAGGGAGCTGAAGAGAGCACCTAGGGGAAAGCTATGTAGCAGAATAGAATCTGGGAGTCCAGGTTCACCTGGGCTCAGCTGGAGAGTGGGGGAAGAAAGTGGTCTAATTGGGCTGAATGAAAGCTACTGAGAAAATGATTTGTCCTATAATGGGCAAAGCCCTGAAAGAGCTGCTTAGCTTTAATGTGTCCAGATATCCAGGCAAGGTGCCCTGGACAGACTCAGAGAACAAACAAAAGAAGAAAAGAAAGGAAGGAGAAAAAAGGAGGAGGAGGAAGAAGAGAAGGAAGCAGAGGGGAAGGAGAAGGAGGAGAGGAGGGAGAGGAGGGAGAGGAGGGGAGAGGAGGGAGAGGAGGGACAGAAGGGAGAGGAGAAGAGGGTGGAGGAGGAGGAGGAAGAGGAAGAGGAGGAAGAAAAAGAGGAAGAAGAGGAAGAAGAGGAGGAGAAAGAAGAGGAAGAGGAAGAGGAAGAGGAAGAAGAAGAAGAAGAAGAAGAAGAAGAAGAAGAAGAAGAAGAAGAAGAAGAAGAAGAAGAAGAAGAAGAGAAGAAGACGACGACGACAACAATGATGACAGTCACCACCCTGTAAAATGGGATGATGACAGCAAACAGCCCAGGTGGGTACCAGGTCAGCTGGTCTGGTAGCCAGGCTAACACAGAGGACAGGCCCTGAGACTTGAGCTCAGCTTTACCTGCATACACAGAAGGGCAAAAGGTCTTTTCATTATGAAGTGAGTGCTGAGTGAGATAGAGCCCAAGGCCAATGCCTGCTCAGTGCCACTAGCCTGGCACTGCCTGCAGGCATCTAAAAGCAAGAGCAGCTCCAGCCTGGGGCTGAATGTCCAAAAAGACTTGTTGAACCTAAGTTTTATAGGAGAAATGAAATTACATTTTTTTTTTTGTATTCAGTACAGGGTCTATAGGGTCTCACTATGTAGATCAGACTCATAGTGATCCTCCTGTTTACAGCCTCCCAAGTGCTGGGATTACAGGCGTGCGCCACCATGCCCAGTCTCAATCGCCATCTCAGCATGCCCCAGGATCAAACTCCAGCCCCTGCATCTGCCTAAGCAGGTGCTTTAATCCTATTTGGCCAGGACTTTAAATTACAAATTTTAACTAATTGGTAAATGTACCTTTGGCTTCTAGTTGAGTTGCTGTGCATAAAACATCTCATGTGTATTGCAAATTCTTAAATTGCAGTTACAGAGTTAACTTGCCCTTTTTTCTGCTCTCTTTTTTTTTTTTTGGTCTTTTTTTTTCCATAATTTTATTGAGAGACAAATAGCAATGAGACAGTTTCAAATCAAATTGGTAGGACAGTTTCAATAATTAACACATTGCATACTCTCTTCCTAGTGGTTATTTGCTGTACAAGATGCAGACATGATATCCTATTTACAAACACTATTACAACAAATCCCTCTATTCATTAAGAGAATGTAACTATATATCTATCCTAACCATTTTGAATACACAGATACAAAATGGACATTCATCTGTATCCCCTTTTTTGTTTAGTTCCGTCATTTGAATATTATAGGTGTGTTAACTCAGCAAAATATTCTAAAAGAGTCCAGTAGTCCATAATAGTATTGGGTCTTCCTCTTGACTGGCAGTGTCAGAAATTGTTGCTACAAGGTTGTATATGGTTAGATTTCTGGACTTATGTGTAAACATAAGAATTATATAATTCTTTATGCCTATTTTTAAAATATATTTTAATTTTTAAATGTTTTTTCATCATATTCTGTAGGGACTTAAAGTTCAACGTATCAATACTTGATGAAAAATACCTGTTCCATGTTATGCCTAAGATGTTTGATATTCAGACAGATAGTGAGGTTAAGCTTAACAGCCTAGGTTGTATGGTAATAACAATAAGCTTCTCTTCTGGAGGGTTAACAACCTAAGTTTGCAGACCAAAATCAGAGAAAAAGGAAGGCCACAAGGAAAGCCAACATTTTGGCCCTAGTCTTCCAAGGTCAATTAAGACTCAGGACATATAAGAACTTGTAATGTAACATCACATAACTCAGTAGTGTCCCAAATTTTCTGATCAAGGAGATTATGGGGCCAAAGAGGAAAGTGATCGATGATGTAGAGTGTGCCTAAGGAGAGTCACATGGAGAGAAAACATTCTCTCAGGCTTTCACAGAGAGCACATTGGCCAAGCAATGGCCGTGACTCATCCACATGGCTGACACTGACAAAGGATCTACAATCTGAGGTACAGAATCTCAGGATAAATCCTGAGGGGATTTCACTGACCTTATCAGACCCAAAAGCTACAACTCTTGTTGCATAGGTCCTGCTTTACCTTGGTCTTAACCATCCAGCAGAAAAGTATAAAAACGAAATATAAGAAGTAAAGCCATGCTGTTATGTTGAGCTGTAGGGGACTCAGGTCTACAATTTCTCTTTTGGTTTAAGACAAGAACACTGATGCCAGGTTACTGAGAAGCCAGTTGGCAGTGGTCAAGTTTACTGGGTGAGGGAAGAGGAAACACTTTCAAATTCAAGTGGCTGTAGTTCAGTTTGTTTCAAGATTTATGGTAAGTGAGAACAGTAAGAAGGCTAGAAATACACGAGAGTGCTTCTGATGAGAGGACTCTATATTATAAATGTTTTGTGCTGCTAACAAGATAAAAAGAGAACAACAGGGGCCGGGGAGATGGCTCAGTGGAATAAGCGCTTCCCTGGCAAGTTCAAGGGTCTGAGTTCAATCCCCGGTTCCACCAAAAAAAACTTTAAAAAGTATATTTCCATTTTCTTTTGACTTATAAAAAAAAAGAAGTTTGTACCTATAAAAAAAAAAAAAAAAAAAAAAAAAAAGAGAACAACAGCACTGGGACGCCTACCCACAGCAAGGAAAGCTATGGAAATCACTCATTTTTTTTAAATGTTCATGATTACTTGTTAATTTGGTGGAGTTCAAGTTGTTCCTTCTAAAAACTCTTGAGAAGGAAATGATCAAATTGATATAAAATAATGCTTTTCTCAGTGATTTGTGTCACAAAAGAGTAGATATAAGAGGAAAAGTGTCAAAGTCAACCCCATTAAAGTGTTAGCTGACTTTAAAAGTGTACAAGAAAATATAAAATAAAGCTCACACCCCTGCTGGAGGTTTAGAACTCTTCATAAAATACACTGACCCTCTGTACTGATCAACACACTGTCACCTTGAGAAGTCTAGAAGTTTAACTAAATGGCTCAGCAGGGGAGCCAGGTCCTCCCTGCAAGCATCCTCATCCTGGGCAAGAGGACAGCAGGAGATGGCCTGGGTGCTGCGCCACCCTGGGGTCGGAGCCTGGTTACAATGGAGGGGAGGGAAGCGGCTCACTCTCCCCATTTTCTGCTCTTATTGTTTCTACTGTCTTTGGCCACCTTGCAACGCTGTCCCTCTGCTATGCCACTCTGTCTTGGACTGCTAACTATGGACTGGACCTTCTGCAGGCTATGAGCTAAACAGATCTTTCCCCTGTTACCTCTGGGTGTTGGGTATTTTGTCCCAGCAACAAGAGAAAAGTAACTAAAACACCCGCCTTTGATAGTAAATGGCTGGCTGGAGGGAAGTAGGGGGAAGACTGACCAAAAGAAAAAAAAAAATGTGTGCATATATAGGCTGGTGACTGGGAGCAGAGGACCCCTAGGACACCAGGATCAGCTTCCCTACACTGGCTCATGGCAAAATGTAGCTTGGGCCACACCCATGTGGCTCCTCCCCTGTCTAGCTGCTTATTGACAAAAGTGGAGGGCTCTTCTGGCACTAGTGCAACCCAGCTTTCAGAGGTGACTACCACAGTGTATGCAACTTATAACTGGGAGGACAAAGAGCTGACAGGAGGAAAAAAAAATCAAATCTGCTGACATCAGTGCTCACAGAGAAAAGAAACAAAAATCACTACTACACGGCAAAGACAAGGACACTGACAAGACGGAGTCAAACTGAACCAGAATCTGTCAGCTGACCAAAACTAGATTGGGATCAATGCGGGTGATGTAAAAATGTGGACACTGAGGACATAAATGCCCAAAAATGGTGACAGAGATGCTAAAAATTCCAAGACTAGGAGGCTACTTACAGAAGGCTATTGCCTCTATGGGGCAAAAACCCGGATGCTGGCCTCATGGGACTCACAGAAACTAAAGTTGCAGGACTAGGTCAGACTGGGCTCCACCCCCTTGGACGTCACAAGCTATGGACATAACAAAGAGCTGGGCCATTTATGGGCTTTCTGGTAGGCAGCAGAACCGAACACCTGGTAACAGCGCAACCTACTGGGCTACTGCCTAAAAAAATGTGACTATCAGAGTCACTGGAGTCCCAGAAAAGAGGCCATTTTGTGTCATATGGGAATAAAAAGTCCAGCCTAAGTTCCTGCATCTTCCAAACTGTCCAGTTCCCCTGCTAAAAAGGGACCCACTCCAAAAGCACAGCCCAAGTTAGGCTACGGGTTAAAGAGAAGACGGCACAGCACAAAGCTGACACTGAGGAGCACCTCGCCCGGCTGCATGAGACATCAAGGAGCAAGTTC